ATTATATTAAATATAATAATAAATATATATTATATTGTAATTATATATATTATACTATAATATAATACAGTTGTAATTTTAATTATTTAAAGTAATTTAACTTCATAATTTACTAAACTTATTATATTAATTTTGAAACTAGCACAACTATTATAATTATAATTTACTAAAAGGACGTTATACATCGAAGTTTAAGAGATATTTTGTGACAAGTGTTATACTTCAAGGGAATCGTGTAATTTTATCTAATAAAAAAGTGATAATTACACTACATGGGTATGAAATAATTTCGAGAAACAGACGTTTTGTATATCAAAGTTTAAGAGATATTTTATGACAAGTGTTATGCTTCAAGGGAACTTTGTAATTTTGTCTAATAAAAAATGGATAATTACATTACATGGGTGTGAAATAATTTCATACAAATTTAGCAAAAATTTTAAAATATTATAAATATAGTAAAAATGACATAATAATTATCATAATGATATTATATTTTATACTATATAATTATATAATCATTATATTAATGACAAAAAAATAATATAAAATTTTCCTATTCTTATAATATTTCAAAATTTTTACTAAATTAACTTTGATATCAAAATTTTAGCTATATCTGTGAATCAGCCAAAAAAAAAAGAAGAAAAAGAAAATAAAAAAGTAATGGAGTCCATAGTTATAGGACTCGGACAAGAAGCGGGAAAAGGAAGGAGAAACTGATATAAACAAAATACTCTTCGGCTTCTTTAACAAGCTCTTCCTCAGTTCTCTTCAATGGCTCGCAACAAGGTAATAATGCAAAAGCTCTTGAAAATTTCCAAAAAGAAATTTACTTTCCATTTCAATTCCTTGTTTAGACTCCAGATTATTACTTTTTTGATTCTTCTTCTTGTTCAAACGGATCATTTAATCTTCGTTTCTGTTGATAATAAATTGTTAGAAAATGATTTTCAGTTCGTTCATTTTGATGCGCTCTTGAGATTGTAATCGATGAAGAACAACACTGAATTTGTTGCTTTGCTCTGGTTTTTAGGTTTTAGGTTCTGTAGTTTCTCAAATTATTCGAATCTTTAAACCCTAATTTCGATTGTGTTATGTGAACTTTTGGATATTAGGAAGCGTTGCTTTTGTTGATCGATGTGGGTCCCTCAATGCACAATGTTCTTCCGGAAATTGAAAGGGTTTGCTCTACTTTAATTGAGAAGAAGGTTAGCATTTATATTTAAATGTTTTTCCTCTCTTTGTATTGGGGTGAAAGTGTTGGTTATTTTGGACGGGAAAATAATCATTCTGGTACCTTGTAGTTTAATTTTATTAGACTTTTACATTTGTATTCAGATGATTATATTATATACCTTGTAATTAAAAAAAAAAATACCAGGGTAAGATCATCTCCAATGCGAATTCCAATGACAATATTTGTTTCTAAAAAGTATAAAAATGACATATTAGATGTGTTATTCTATTTTCTTCTCCAATGCATAATACTATTTCAAATGCTATAACAACTTTTTGTCATGATTATTAAGTTTTAAAACTTTAATTTTAAAGTAATTTAAAAAGGCCAATGTTGTAGGAAGAAATTTTTCTTCTACCAAAAAAAAAAAAAACTTCTTAGGGTTTGTTTGGTAGTTCAAACTCAAGAATTTGAACCATATGGCTTTTGAATTATAAGGTTCAAACCCTGAGAACTCAAGGGGGATTTAGGTTTAGAAATCTTTTTATATTTTGAGGGTTTAAACGTGACATCAAGGGTTCATCAAACCCTTTTTTACTTTTAGCAAAACGTACACTAGTTTGAACTAGAACTAGGGTTCAAGGGTTTGAATCCTCCAACCAAACGACCCCTTAGTATTTTTTTTTTTTTAAAATATATTGTTGGAAAAAAACAGCTAGAGAAAATTTATATATCCAAAATGGCCGTTTAGGTATCCAAATGACACACACACACACACGTACGCGCGTGCGCGCGTGAGTGTGTATATATATGTATATATGATACCTTTATGGGATGATTGGAACATGGAGGTACCAATATGATAAAGTCAAAAACTACATAATACCAGGATGATAGCTTCCTTTTTGAATGTTGATGCTCTTTAGAAGGGTTTCTTTATCATTCGGCTTCCTTTTGTTTGTTGCAGCTCATTTATAGCAAGTATGATGAAGTTGGAGTTATTTTGTTTGGAACTCAAGGTACAATTAGCTATCTCGTTAGTTGTTGAGCATAAAACTATTTAGGGCTTTTGGCACTAACGGTCTGTGAGAAAACTAATGGGTGCTAACTGTTTGAACCATTTTGCGAAGGAATCACTAATTCAAGGATAAATTTACCATTTTTTTTTTCAGTGGACCAAACTGTTACTACGCAAAAAGTTCAGAGATTATTAGCGCCAAAAAGGCAAAATATAATGTGCTTGGTTTTCTGCTCTTTTTTTTTTTTTTTTTTGGTTAGGAAAATTTTCTGATACTTTTAAGTGTCTTGAAGGAATAATGGTTGCTGTTCAGAGTTAATAGCTTTTCTTGTTTCCTGTTTCCAATTCTTAGAAAGAAACATAGGATTATTTCTTGATGTTTTGCTCTTTAAGCTTTAGCGGAAACTATTGGTTGCCAGTAACTACAGAATGCTTCTTAGTTTAAGTGAAAACTATTAGTTGCCAGTATATTTGGCATCAAATGGATTACGTGTTATTCATGTATATGCTTACCTCTATGTCTATGTATTGGTATGCATGTATGTGTAAGTGCATATGTTTCTGTATCTACAAGTAACATAATATATTTGTCTATTTTTGTATGCCCTGTATATATAGGTGAATGTGTGTGTATGCGTTGCACAGGTTGTTATAAGGTTTTGTTAGATGCTTCTTGTAGTAATTCTTTGATGAACAAAACTTACTTTTGGAGCTACTGGAATTCTCAGATACAAAAAATGAGCTGACAAAGGAAGTGGGTGGATATGAACATGTGATGGTTTTACGAAACATTGGAGTTGTTGATGGAAATGTTCTTGAAGTTTTACAGCCACTCCCGAGAGGAACCTTTCCTGGAGATTGTATCCTCTAATTTGTTTGTTGTTTTCTTCTCCTTCTGTTGATTATATTTTATTGTTTGCTTGCACTTTCTACTTGAAATTTACTATTCTTATCCTTCTTGAGCTCAGAAGTGTAGTCATCTCTTACCATCAGTGCCATCCATAATATAATTTTTATTTGTTTAATTATTTCTTTTTTCCAGAGTGAAATTTTGAATGCATACCAAGGAATTCAGTCCTCCTTTAATCATGCTTTCTGATGTTATTCAAACAAGGTTTTCGTTATTTCTCATTATAACTTGTATGTAGATATATCTTCGCAGAATTGTTCATTTCTATGGTTTAGTAAGGAAATTTGTCACTTGATTAGTTTGTAAACTTACAATTTTCTTATGTTCAATTTTATTTTTATGTAACCTTGACCGGGGACAGTTCTTGATGCTATAATTGTTGGGATGGATATGTTGATTAAGAAGTATGGACCAACAAATATGGGAAAGAAACGCCTTTGTTTGATTACAAATGCACAATGTCCTACCAAAGATCCATATGAAGGAACCAAAGAAGATCAGGTAACGATAATTGCTGATCAAATGACTGCACAAGCAATGAAAATGGAGAGTATAGTTGTAAGGGGAAGGATCGGTGCAGAAGCAAATGAGAAAATAATGGATGAGAATGATCGTCTACTTAATATATTCTCAAAGAGAACACGTGCAAAATTGGTGCATGTTGAGAGTCCAATCTCGTTGCTTGGCGCACTTAAAACTCGAAATATAAATCCAGTTACAATCTTCAGGGGTGATCTTGAAGTTAGCCCCAAAATGAAGATTAAGGTGAGAGATTTGTTGTTTGTTGGAAGTATCATGAAGTGTGTGTTGTTGATATGTTTGTACATGTGCCTTCTTGTATGCTTGTTTTTCCTACCTAATGGCAGACATTTATTTATTTTGTTTCTCTCTCTCTCTTTTTTTT